CTCGGGCCCCGATCGGGCCAAGAGAGCTCCACGAGGCACCTGCGGCGTCCGAAGCCTGGAGCGCGACGCAGCCCAAAGCGCATCTGCTGCCCGCGGGGCGCTGGCAAGAACGCTGGGAAGCATGCAGGCCAGCCACAACTGGGGCAGCTGTGGTCCTCACCCCCCTGGGGGGCCCATCGATTTCGACACCCCTGTCGAGAGATCGTCGATGCGATGGGCTCCCCCAGGGGGGTAAGGACCACAGCTCCCCCAGTTATGGCTGGTCGGGCATGGCCTGAAGAGATTGCACGCTTAGACCTCTGGAATCCACCCGTAGAGCCCAAAACCTGGATAGCAGGGCGCAGGAAGGACGTGGGAAGACCCTTCGAAGGAGCTCGGAAGTTCCTTGAGGGAGCTTGCGAAGGACCTTCTGGAGAGCTTCCGGGCAGACGTATTGGGAAACGCTTAGACTTGACAGTCCAAAACCCGGATAGCGATGCAGTCCACAGTGCTCAACTTGTGGGATCCAGAACCCACATAGCAGGGCGCCAGAGGGGCGTGCGAAGGCCTGTGGAAGGTGCCTGGAATCTGGGGAAGAGCTACCGAAGGAGCTGGAAAGAGCTTCTGGGAGACCTTCTGGAGAATTTCCGGGCACATGTATTGGGAAACGCTTAGAAAAGGCTTGCCGGAACACGCTGCAATCTCAAGCAACTCGTTCCAGGATTTTTGACGGAAGCTGTAACGAGCTCCGGGGCTACTCTGCGGCTCTCTTACAGTATTCTGAAACCTTCGTAATTCTCAGAAAGATATCCGGGGAGAACCTGTCATCATCGTCAGCGTCATCGTCATCGCCATCATCATCAGCAGCATCATCATCAGCAGCAGCAACATCTTCAGTTTCATCACCATCATCCGCATCATCCTCATCATCATCATCATAATCATCATCGTCATCAGTGTCATCAACATCATCATCATCATCATCATCATCATCATCATCATCATCATCATCATCATCATCATTATCATTATCATCGGCATCATCATCATCATCGTCGTCAATATCAGCAGCATCATCGTCGTCAGCATCAACATCATCAGCATCATCATCACCCTCATCCTCATCATCATCAGCATCATCATCCTTATCAGCATCGGCATCGCCATTGCCGTCATCATGATCATCGTAATCATGATTTTCAGCAGCAGCAATGTCATCATTATCAGCATCATCAACATCATCATCAGTATCATCGTCGTCATCGTCATCAGCATCATCATCAGCAGCAGCATCGTCGTCATCACCATCTTCAACAGAATCCTCATCATCGTCATCATCAGCATCGTCATCGCCGTCGCCGTCGCCATCATCACTATCATCAGCAGCAGCATCGTTGTCATCATCATCAACATCATCAGCATCGCCAGCATCATCATCAGCAGCTGCATCGTCGTCGTCATTACCATCATCAACAACATCATTATCATAATTCATCGTCATCGTCGTCGTCACCATCATCATCATCATCATTATCATCATCATCGTCATCATCGTCATCGTCATCGTCGGCATCACCATCGACATCATCACCATCAGTATAATCATCATGACCGTCATCGCCATCATTATCATCATCAACAAATTCACCGTCATCCTCGTCTTCAAAACCATCGTCATCGTCATCATCATCACCATCGTCATCATCATCATCGCCATCATCTTCAACGTTAAGATCATCATCCCCGCCGTCGCTGCCATCGGCGTCGTCGTCGACGTCGTCGTCGCCATCAGCATCGTCATCATCATCAGCAGCTGCATTATCTGCAGCATCAGCATCCGCATCATCATCAGTATCCGCATCCTCAGCATCGTCATCATGATCAGCAGCAGCATCTTAGACATCATCCGCATCAGCAGCAGCCGTTTCAGCAGCATCATTATCGTCATCGCCGTCATCGCCACTTGAATATGTATCATCGTCACCATCAACATGATCCTCATCGTCATCGTCGTCGTCACCGTGCAGGAGCAACAACGCAGCAGGAAGGAGGCTGAGTGTAGGAACAGCGCAATTCCAACGAGTTGTTTGAACCAGGACGGGTCATGAACCCGACCTCGTCTTCGTCCGCGCGGTAGGGAGGAGGAAGGGGAGAAGGAGTAAATGAAGACGAGGAGGAGGGGGCTTCCTGAGGGCCTCTTAGCTTCCTTGGCCGTCTTATAGGGGGCTCCTTGGCCCGTCTGATTCCTTCGGAGGCCCGTCGGAGGCCCTAGCGGAGGCCTCCCTGGGCCGTCTTGGTACCCTCATGGAGCGCTTTAGGGCCGTCTTGGGGCCATCTTGGGCCAACGTGGGGCCTTCTCGGGAGCCTCTTGGGCTGGAGCCTACCGTGGAAGCCTTTGGGGCCGTCTTGGGCGGTCGGAAACCCACAAAGGCGAGAACCTCAATTTGTTCGATAAACGAAGGAACATCTGTGGCTTGGGCTTCCTCGGGCTATCCTGGAGGGCCTCTTGGAGTCCTCTTGGGCCATCTTGAAGGCCTCTTGGGGGCCTCTTGGGCTGTCTTGGATCCTACCTTGGAGGCCTCTTGGGCTGTCTTGGGCGGCTGGAAACCCACACAGGCGAGAACCTCAAACAGTTTCAATTCACGAAGGAACATATATGGTTTGGGCGTCCTCGGGCTCTCCTGGAGGACCTCTTGGAGTCCTCTTGGGCCGTCTTGAGGCGTCTTGGAGGCCTCTTGAGCCGTCCTCGGCCATCTCAGGCCGTCTTGGTCTCGATTTGGCTGTCTTGGAAGCCGTCTTGGCGGCCACCTTACCTTGGTCGTCTCGAGGCCGAAAACAGCGCTGAAGAGCAAATTCAGGGTGGCGTTGTTCCCCAAACAGCTTGCTGAACAGGGTGCTGTTATGGTAGAAGCTAACTCCGGCCGAGGGAACGGGGGGGCAGAGACATCCTTAAAAAAATGTGTGGTCTGGGCCGTTTCGCCTGAGACGTCCTCACAACTTTCGTTTCTGAGTTGTCCACGATTGGCCGTTTCGCCTGAGACATCTTCGAAAATCTGGGCTCCAGGACGCCACGCGCCAGGTGGTCCAGGCCGTTTCGCTCGAGACATCCTCCAAACTCTAAGCCCCGAGATGCAATGCGAGAGGTGGTCTGGCCCGTTTCGCCTGAGACAGCCTGTCAATTCCGAGCTTCGAGACGCCGCCCGGGAGGTGGTCTGGCGCGTCTCGCTTGAGACACCCTCGCAATTCTGCAATCCGAGCTGCCGCGCCAGAGGTGGTCTGGCCCGCTTCGCTTGAGAGACAGCCTCGAAACTCTGGGCTCCGAGGAGGAGGAGGAGGAGGAGGAGGAGGAGGAGAGAGGAGCGAGGAGGAGTCAGGGCTCCGAGAAGGAGGAGGAGAGAGGAGCGAGGAGGAGAGAGGAGCGAGGAGGAGGCAGACCCGAACGAATCCTTTACACTCTGGTCGTCGAGTCGTGCCTCCGGGAGAGGTCTGGGCGCCCCCCGGGCCCGACGGAGGAGGCAGCCGGCGCCGCGGCGCGAGCACGATCCGTTTTGGTAAATTGCAATCGGGGGTGGACAGACCTCCTCCTCCTCCTCCTCCCCCCCTCCTCCCTCCTCCTCCTCCTCCTCCTCCTCCTCCTCCTCCTCCTCCTCCTCCCTCCTCCTCCTCCTCCTCCTCCTCCTCCCCCTGACACGTCGATTAGTGAATGGTCCGTTTTCGGTTCTCGAGAGGGCGCCGCGGCCGTCATTCTCCAGGCCTGCGCCGCCGCCAGGTCTGGCCCGGGGTCGGTTTCACTGAACCACGTTTTACTAAAGGGAGGTCTGTCCATCCCGATGCAAGGGCTGATCGGGGGGGCGGCATGCTGGGGCAAGTCGTGGAGGTGCCTCGAGCGAGAGCGCGGCGAACAGGGAGGAGGTAGGGATGGGGGAGGAGGGAGGGAGGGGGAAAAGAGCTCCGAGATGCTGCGCGAGGGGAAGAATCGAGGGGGGAAGCGGGATCGTGCTCAGACGCTGCCTGTTTGAGGGCATCCCTGACGAGGCTGCCTCCTGGAAGCGGCTGCCTGGATCCAGGTGGCCGCCGATAGAACAGCCGAGGGGGAGGGTCGGCTTTAGAATCGGTGCGAGACCGGGGGGAAGTGAGAAGGGGCGTTTTTTTTGTTGCAGAAGGCTCGGAAGTCCCCTGGTCTTCTGAGAAGTATTCTAAGCCTTCCCCGAAGACGCAGAAAACTGTTCAGAAGGCGCGAGGGCTTCTGAGAAGTCCCGTCGCCTTCTGAGAGGCCTTCTCCTTCACAGTCCCCCCCCTCGTTCGCCGCCGAACAAAAGAAACCTCACAGGACTGTACAGGAGCATTCTAACACGCCCCCAGCGGGCGCAGCCAGCACGACGTGCGTCCGCGCATACGCCTCCGTTGCCTCCTCGAGGCTCGACGATTAATCGAGGACTGAGGATCGGATTCTTTTGAAGTTTTTGTCTCAACCATCTTGTGGGTTCCTCCTCCCCTCCTCTCCTCCTTCCCTTCTCTCCTCCTCCCCTCTCCTCCTCTCCTCCTCTCCTCATCCCCTTCTCTCCTCCTCCCCTTCTCTCCTCCTCCCCTCCTCTCCTCCTCTCCTCCTCTCCTCTCCTCTTCTCCTCCTCCCCTCCTCTCCTCCTCCCCTCCTCTCCTCCTCTCCTCTCATTCCCGTCCTCCTGTGGCTGCGCTCCGCGTGATCCTGTCGGCACGCCCCTCGCGCGTCTCGCCCCACGGGGAGCTCCACCGAAGGCCCCGCTGGCACCGCTGTCGGGCCTCCGGGACACCTCCCCGCCGCCACGGCGGGGCTGCCTTGCCGAGCTGCTGGCCAGGGCGCACCCCTGGGAGGGGCCCAGGAGGGCAGCCCTTGCTGCGGCGTGTTCCCCGGGAACCTGGACCTGCTTCGCCACTGGAAAGAGAAATGCGGAGAAGGGCGGCACGGCCAGGTGGACCGCGTGCGCTGGCGCCTGCAGGCCCGCTGCGGGCCCTGGGCCCGGCAGAGCACGGCCCGGGCTGGTAGCCAAAGTGGCTCGAGCCAGAGCGGCCCCAGGTCTCAGAGCTCGAGCAGGGGATCGGCTACAGACTTGATTTTACCAGCCTCGAACTTAACCCTATCCCTAAGATTGACACGCCAGAAGGCGATGGCCATCTTAGGGATCCGCCCTCAGAAGATAAGGGAATCCCTGAGATTGGCATCGTGATGAGGAGATGCCCAGCATAGGGATGGGGATATGTTCCAGGCTGGTAATGGCTTCCACCCCCGAAGTTAGCTTCCCCGCCGAGTCTGCGCGACGAGGCACGCAGAGACCTCCTCAGACCTGCGGAGCAGTCTGCGCACGGCTGCGCGGGTTCGGCGGGAAGGCCAAGTTGGGGGCTCAGTCGGCCCAGATTGGTAGAGGAGGGGGAGGGAGGGGAGGGGGAGGGAGGAGGAGGGAGGAGGAGGAGGAGGAGGAGGAGGAGGAGGAGGAGGAGGAGGAGGAGGAGGAGGAGAGAGAGGTCGACCCTGCCAAGTCAAGGGTACCTTTGTGTCCTGTGTCTCGCGACCCATGCCTTCTGCATTCCTGGGGCAGCGTGCCCCTCGGAAAGGGTCTTTTGTCCTCTCGCGTGTCCTCTCCACTAAAGTCCGACTGTAAACCGATCCTGCAGTCGATCCCCGACTCGACGAGCAGGGCATCACGCAGCCTCGCGGCCCGGCCGGGATGGCCGATGACGAGTGCCGAGGCGGCGCCGGCTGCGCGGGGCTCCGAGCTCAGGATCGGACCTCGACACTGCCGGGCTTCGAGGAGCAAGCTGGGCCACTTTCCCGGCTCTCGAGCAGTGGCGAAGCGTCCTGGCGTGCCTATCGTCATACCAAACAATGTTCTAAGAACCTGTTGTGGTTCCCACGAGATGTTCTTGGAGCATTTCTGGTTGGGACTTTCTTGTTTTATCACATCGGGTTTATGTTCTAAGAACATTGTTTTTGTTCTTAGAACATTTTTGGGTTCTAAGAACAGTCCGTGGTAGGACTATAGGAATGCCAGGACGGTCGGACCCTGCTCAAGGCTCACCCTGAGCTGGTTCACCAGACTTCTGCGGATGGGCGTGACGAAGCAGCTCCAGCAGGAGGATCTGGGCCGACCGCATCCCGCGGACGAGGGCGTCGGGAATTATGTCAGGATGCAGGAGCTTTGGGACCAGGAGGTGAATCAGCACGGCTTGGAGTGTGCCCGGGTCGGGCGCGTGCTCTTTCGTTTTGTGGGCCGCCGCAACGTGTGGTTGTTGACCATATGCGCCTACACGTCCGTGGCATGCTTGACGGTGCAGCCGATCTTGACCAAGATGTTGTTGCGGTGGTTGGAGGGCTCTCTCACGATGAGCGTCGTGAGCCAGTGGCTGTTGGTGCTCGCCATCTTGGGGTCTCCGTTGCTTGGGGCCGGCATCCAGGCGCACATGAACATGATATCAAGCCGTATCGGCATGCACCTCTATGCGGCTTTGACCATGATGGTGTATCGCAAGTCGCTTAAGCTCAGCTCCCAGGCGCGCAACTCTGCGAGCACAGGGCGCCTCGTGAATCTGATGAGCAACGACGCTGGCACGGTCATGGAGCAGGCGGTGCGCGTAGTGGGTCCCATGCTGACGGCCTTGCCACAGTTGGTGATCGTGCTTGTGATGCTATTCACTGAGATCGGGATCTCGATGCTGACGGGCTTTGGATTTGCACTCTTCAGCGTGCCCCTCGCCATCTTGATATTCAAGAAGATTAGTGAGTTTTATGGCTTGGCCGCACAGGAGACCGACCAGAGGCTGAAGCTCGTAAACGACCTTTTCACTGGCATTCGCGTTGTGAAGGCATACGCTTGGGAGAAGGCGTTCCTGCGCGTCATAGGGGATACTCGGGCGAAAGAGCTACATTTCATTCGGAGGCATGCCTATTGGTCAATGGTTGGCATGATGTGCGTCTACATGCAGCTCCCGGCATTTATGCAGCTCGTCGTCTATTCGACGTACGTTGGGCTGGGTGGTGAGTTTTCAGCCTCGCGAATTTTTACCGCGATCCAGCTGTTCCAGCTCTTGCAGCAGCCGCTCACGCAGTTGCCTGGCGCATTGACACAGATTGCGCAGCTCATGACCGCTACGCAGCGGCTGGGTGCCTTCTTTCGACTGCACGAGCTGGCAGACCCTGCCCACGACGAGAGCGCGCCACCCGCCTCGGGCGAGCCGGCTGTGACAATCTCGGGGGACGCAATTTTCGTCTGGGAGTCCCAGCACGTCCAGTCATGGCGCCTCGGACTGCCCAAGAGCACGGCGGAGAAGAGGCAGGAAATGAAGGCGACGAAAGAAGCAAGAAAGCAGCTGAAGCAGGAATCTGACGAGGTGGCAAATGCGGCGGAGCTGCCTCGGACGCCGGCTGATGCATCGGCGGTTGGGAATCCCTCCCACGGCTTCGAACTTAAACAGGTGGACTTGCGCATCGAGCAGGGCGAGCTGGTGGCCTTTGTGGGCCCTGTGGGCAGTGGTAAGAGCAGCTTGATCAGTGCAATCCTCAACGAGATGACTATGCAGCTGCCTGTGGCAAGTCCCGCCACCGTGCCAGCCCAGCACTCTGGGCGGTCACTGTTCAAGGGTGGCACAGGGAGCCGTAGCGTGTGACACCTCGTGCCCCGGGGCCTGGGAGTCATCCGCGTCGTGCCGGTGTGCCTCCTTTCGTCTTCGGCGCGGGTATCCTCGAGTCCGAATGAGGCGCATCTCATTTGTAATGCATGTATCGAGAGTCCGACCAGGTTGACAAAACAACGATGGTGTTGCTGCTGATGATGTTGGTGATGATGATTATGATTACGATGATGATGATGCTGATGATGATGATGATGGTGGTGGTGGGGATGGTGGTGATGATGATGCTGATGACGAATACAATGATGATGATGATGATGATGATGATGATGATGATGATGATGATGATGATGATGATGATGATGATGCTGATCGTGATGATGATGGTGTTGATGCTGATAGGGATAGTAATGGTGATGGCGGTGATTATGGTGATGATGGTGGTGGTGGTGGTGATGAAAATGGTGGTGATGATGGTGGTGATGGTGACGACGATGATGATGATGATGAGTGTGATGATGATCATGACAATGATGGTGATACTGATGATAATGATGATGATGATGATAACAATGATGATGATGGTGGTGATAGTGATGGTGATGATGATGTTGGTGGTGCTGGCGATGATGATGATGATGATGATGGTGGTGGTGATGATGGTGGTGATGATGATGATGGTGGTGATGATGATGGTGATGATGATTATGAGGAGGAGGACGGCGATGACGACGCTGACGACGACGACGACGACGACGATGATGATGATGATGATGATGATGATGGTGACGGTGATGGTGGTGGTGGTGATGAGGGTGATGATGATGGTGATGATGGTGGTGGTGTTGGTGATGGTGATGATGATGATGATGATGATGATGGTGGTGGTGATGATGGTGATGGTGGTGGTGATTGTGATGAGTAGGAGGAGACTAGTGTTTATTGTGCATATGACTACGATGATGGTAATAGTCATGACCATGATGATTGTCATCATCATGGTGGTGGTGAGGGTGGAAGTGGTGATGCTGATGATGATGATGGTGATGATGGTGGTGGTGATGGTGATGGTGTTTGTGATGGTGGTGGTGATGGTGAAGATACTGGTGGTGGTGATGGCGATGCTGATTACGATGATGGTGGTGATGGTGATGATGATGAGAAAGAGGAAGAGGGATACCATATCATGTGACACGTGCCGTCGGAAGTCTTCCAGCATAGCAAAAGCGGTTACCTCTCGAACGCTGTTGAATGCTCTCCGCGTGGCGCCGTTTGGAGTAATGCCCAGAAGGCGGTCATATGTGACTCGTCGGCCGTCTTGCGGCCATGGCGGATTGCTGTGAGGCTGCTTGGAGCGGACCAGGAGGATGGAGGAAACGACGATTGTGGTAATGATGGGGAGCATGGGAAGGAGGAGGAAGAGGAGGAGGAGGAAGATCAGAAGAGGAGGAGGAGAAGGAGGAGGAGGAGGACCGAGCGGGTCAGGAGGATGAGGAGCAGCATGATAATGAGTACGAGGAGGAGAGGGACGAGGAAGAGGAAGGCCGTCACATGTGACACCTCTTGTCAGGAGTCGCGTTGTGCGCGCGGACCTTTCCGGCGCCGCCCGCGACACCCGCCGCCACCACAGAGCCCTCGTGTGCCTGATTTTGGCCGTCGTTATGCTGCCCTGGGATCTCGTTGCGGGAGCCGTCTCAAGCTGCTGGGGCTGTAGTCATTTGAGCCTGTCTCTGGACCTTCGCGAGGCGCTTGAGATCTAGCCTCCCTTGGAGAGGTGGCAAACACGAAGGCAATCGTCTAGTTTCGACCACTGTCTTTCAGGCGGTGGCCATGGCGAACCGCTCCTGGCAGCGTTATCCTTGGCGCCGCGGTCTTGCTTCAGGTTCTCCTGAGCACCGGTGGCGTTGTGGATCGTGTGGCTGCAGACAGAACTTGTCAAGGTTCTGGTTCTGCAGACAGTGCGGCGGCTGCCGGTCCGAAGTCGAAACGCAGGATCCAGTTCCAAGTGATGCCGCTGGCGACCGCGCGCTGGACACCAAGCCGCTGCCCGCGGGCCCGTTGGGCGGCAGCAACTGGGCAAGTGGGCCGCCTGCTATCATCGGCAAGGAGGAGACTTTCTCTGACGACGGGTGTGGCCAGCTCGTTGAACTCAACCGCAGGATGGGGAATACGACCCAGTCGGCCGCGCTTCAAGGCCGGTTCGACGAACGCCGCCAGCAAGGTCAGCCAGGTCCCCTGCAGTTTCAGGCGAACGCCAGCGACAAGCAGATCAAGGCATTGTAGAAGAAGCTACGTTTGGAGATGGATCGGTACGTCAAATGGGAACAGTGGCTTGTGGACAAGAAGGCTAGCATTGGTCATTTGCGCACTCAGTTGGCGGAGGAGTCGAAACGTTGTCAGGATTTGGTCGAGAAGTTTCGTATCTTGCTCAGTGGCAAGCAGAACGCTCCTTCCCCAGCACCAGTCAGCGACAAGGTGTCCCTCAAGACCTTCCTCGAGAAAGTAGCGGACATCGTCGCACTTGCGGACGACAGTGCGGAGGAGAGTTTTGGAATGGACCCTGAAGTATATGAAGCTTCGGCTACCGATCGATAGGAGCTCAAGGCTAGAACGAAGCAGTTGCGCACCTTGCTCATTGAGGCCTCAAAGAGTTTGTTCGGCGAGGCGTCCAAGCACTTCGACAAGTTCAAATCGGCCCACGCTTCCCGCGTGCAGAGGACGGGCAAGAAACGCAAAGGCCCTGACGGTGAAGCTGCCAAGCCAGCCAAAGCCCCTCCCAATCCTGATGTCGACGATGGGAAAGGATGCGGCGATGTTGGTGCGAACGGTTCGTCTGGCAACAAGGACGTCGGCTCCGAGGGCCCCAGCCAGAAAGCACGCACAGACGCCCTCCTGGCCCAGGCTGACACCATCATCGGCACTAACACAAAAAAAGGCCCCCATGTCGCAGAGTAGCTCTAGGCAGGGGGTCAGACATCCGAAGACGATCTCCGGCGATGGCCCTTCAATGAGTGAGTCCTTGTGCCACGTCACTGTCGATGAGAACCCTAAGGCTACAATAGCAACCATAAACTACCTCTAAAACTTTACTAAGTCACGACGCTCACCTTCAGCGAGGCACCAACGCTCCCCCAGCCTCCCTGGGGTGCCTTCTTGGCCCCGTGGTCCTCACCGCGTCGGGCCCAATGTTGGTCATGGCCTGGTCTCTGGCAGTTCTGGTTTTGTTTCGTTCAAGACCCCGCCCGAGCCCAGCCCAGGTGAGTGCTCGTTGTGCATTGAAACCTGCAATGCCACCCCCCTTTATGGGCCCCTCAAAGAGTGGCTCGCGCACACAGAGGCCGATGCCATTGCTGTGCCCGAACATCATATTGCGTCAGAGTCTGGTTGCACGGGGGCTGCTGCATGGTGTTTACGGAATGGCTGGAAAGGCTTCTTCGCTCTTGCCTGCCATGGTCGTGGAGATGGTAGCAATGTTGGGGCGGCTATTATGGCTAGATCGTTTCTTGGGTTCCCTGGATTACCTCAAGGCCACATCACCTACCCTCGTCGCGCGGTGGGGGGGCCTCATACACACCCTCGGCAGCGATAAGCACCCTTTCTTCTTGTCTCCAGTCTACCTACACCACGCCGAGTGCATGACCGACCGCAGCGCCGCCATGCTCGGGGCGGCGGGCGCCGTCGCCATTTCGCACGCCAACGAGGCTGTGATCGCAGCCGACTTAGCACGTCTCCTGCCGATGTCATCGAGAATGGTATTCCTGAGAAGCCCCCGGGGGACGCTGCGTTTCCTAAGTGCGAAGGCATTTGTTTAAGGGGGGGCCAAAGGTTGGGCATTCCAGGCATTCACAAAGTGATTCAGGCTGCAAGCGCGGTTGAAATCTTTCGCATTACCTCCCACCCCACCCCGCCCCCGGCCCAGATGTCGCCATCGGGCCGCTGTCGAGGCAGTCTTGGGCATCCTGGCGGCTCTGGGCAGTCGAGGAAGATCGAGGGCCATCGAGGAAGGAAAAACAACAAAAAAAAAAAAAAACAAAAAAAAAAATCCTGGCAGCTCTGGTGGCCTGCAGGGGCCGTCCTGGAAGCCGTCTCTGGACGTCTTGGAGGCCGTGGTGAGCGCCGCGGGAGGCGTCGGGGCGCTCAGGAACCCTTCGGGGGTGGGGGGGGGGGTGCGCAGGGAGGTGTGGTGCGCGGGGGGGGGGGGGGGAGGGTGGCCCGCAGGCGACCTGCAGAAATCCTGCCAGACAGTCTCTCTCTCTCTCTCTTTCTCTCTCTCTTTCCCCTCTCCCTCTTTCTCTCTCTCTCTCTCTCTCTCTCTCTTTCTTTATGTCTCTCTCTCTCTTTCTGTGCATTCTCTCTCTCTCTCTCTCTCTCTCTCTCTCTCTCTAAATATATAGATGTGTGTATGCATATGTATGTATAGATGCATGTGTATACATACATGTATATATACACATGCCGATGTACATGTGTATATATATACATAAATATATCATGTGTGCACATATTATATATATATATGTGTATCCTCCCTGTCGTCCTTGTCCTCGTCGGCCTGTTCTAGCATGGTGGGGTCCCCTTCCCATCAGTTCAGAAGCTGGCAATGTTCCTCATCAGGCTTCGACAAACAAGAAACCCTACCAGACTGCACTTAGCATGCTGCCGCGCCTGAGCGTGCCAGTGGGGCGTGGCTGCGGAGAACGGCTGGCCGCGTGGCGCTGCGCGGGAGCGTTGCGTACGCGAGCCAGGTGCCATGGATACAGAATGCGACGGTGCGTGACAACATCCTCTTCGGATTGCATTACGACGCGGCTTGGTATTCAGAGGTCTTGGACGTGTGCGCGCTCACCGAAGACCTGTCCTTGCTTGCGAGCGGAGACCAGACCGAGATCGGCGAGCGCGGCATCAATCTGAGCGGGGGGCAGAAGGCGAGAGTGAGCATAGCGAGGGCAGTCTATTCCCGGGCGGACATCATCTTGTTGGACGATCCCCTGGCCGCCGTGGACAGGCACGTTGGGGACGTCATCTTCGAGCGATGCGTGCGCAGGGCGCTGAAGGGCAAGACTGTCATCCTCGTGACCAATCAGCTCGAGCGCCTAGAACGCGTGGACCGCGTGGTCGTTCTCAGGGACGGCTCCATCACCGAGTCTGGGACGCACGCTGAGCTCATGCAGGCGCGCGGCGACTTCGCCGACCTGATGGAGCGGCAGGGCATCGCCGAGCCCAGCGCAGACACGGCTGCTGCCGAAGAAGCAACGGCGGCTGCCGAGGCGAAGCCGCGAGGCGCCGCCCTGGGCACTGCGCCCCGGAAGAGCAGAGACGGCGCGGTTTCCGCTGCGCGCATCACGGAGGATGAAAGTCGGGAGGTTGGGTACGTGAACTGGAGCGTGTACGCTTGGTTCATTCGGCAGTGCACCAGGTGTCTCTTTGGACTGCTCGTCTGCGGCAGCATGCTGCAGACATCCTTCCCGATCGTTGGGGTCTTCCTCCTGGCCCAGTGGACGGAGGACGTGCGGCTGAGGGGCCCCTCAATGGAAGTGAATCGGCAATGGCTCTCGCTCTACGCTGCGATGCTCGTGGGCGGCTTGTTGTCCTCGATGTTCTCCGGCGTGTGCAGCGCAGAGATGCGGGTGATCGCCGCGAGGCGCATCCACACCATGCTCCTAAGGACGATGTCACGAGCGCCAGTCGCATTCTTTGATGTGACGCCGCTCGGTCGTATTCTGAATCGTTTCTCCAAAGACATGCTGCAAATTGACATGACGCTCGCGATGATGCTCTCGTGGGCCATTGTGCTTGCCATGTTTGTTGTAACCTCCTGCCTGGCGGTTGTCGTCTCTACGCGAGGCTGGATGCTCCTGCTCATGGTGCCCGCTGGCGCAGGGTACCTCCGTATCTTCCGTTTCGTGAGGCACTCCGCCATCGAGATTCAGCGGCTTGAGTCCATCTCGCGCTCCCCGCTAGCCTCCACCTTCCAGGAAGTGCTGGCCGGGCTCACCACCATCAGGGCGTACCGGCAGCAGGGCCGCTTCCAGGCGCTGAACGCGACGATGGTGAACCAGAATGTTGTGCCATTCTTCTTGTCGAAGTCAGCGCAGGCTCAGGAGGGGGAAAAACACAGACACGATGAATCGCCGACTCCCAGAGGGATATAGGAAAATATGGGAAGTGGGGGGAAGACGAAACTCCAAAGAATATGTGAAAATATGGGGAATCCTGGGATTTGTGTCTATTTGTTTGTGCATCCTTGGGCCCCTTTACAGGCCGCCTGGCTCACTCTCCGCCTCAACTGCGTGGGCGCCTTGGCTTCAGGCTGCTGCGCAGCCTACGCCGTCATGTCTGAGCATCTGGGGGTCAAGCAGAGTGCCGGACTGGCTGGCGTGGGCCTCACGTACAGCAGCCAGATATCCCAGATGATGATGTTTTTGATCATGATCGTGATAGGGGTGGAGACGATGATGAACTCCGTGGAAAGGGTCAAGGATCGGCGGCGCGACCCGGCGGGAAGTGAGAAGGAGCTGACCCTCTCGGAAGGCGGCGCGGCTCGGCAGAAGCCCTCGCGCCTGCTGAGAAGCGCTCTGCGTCTTCGGGGAAGGCCTGGGAAACTTCTCAGAAGGCCCGAGGCCTTCCGAGCCTCCCGAGAAGGCCCGCCCCCCTGATCGCTTCCCCCCTCTGGGCCTCGCTGCCGACAAGGAGTACATCCACACGGTGTCGCCGGAGGAGGACCGCAGCGCGGCCGACGCGCCCTCGGGCAGCGAGGAGCGGCCCAGCCAGGCGTGGCCCAGCGAGGGCAGCATCACGTTCCACCAGCTCGTGACCGGCTACCGGGACGGGCCCGACGTGCTGCACGGCATCAGCGCGTGCATTGCGCCCTGCGAGAAGGTGGGCGTCGTCGGCAGGACAGGCTCTGGCAAGTCGACCATCATCCTGTCCATCTTCCGGCTCATCAAGCCGCGCTCGGGCTCCATCGCGATCGACGGCGTGGACCTCACGACGGTGAGCCTGGAGCAGCTCCGGAGCCGCGTCGGGCTCATTCCGCAAGATCCTGTGCTCTTCACGGGCTCTGTGCGTTACAACCTCGACCCTTTTTCGGAGGCCACGGACGCACGGCTCTGGGAGGTGTTGGAGCAGGTGCGCATGAACGGTGTAGTGGAGCGCTTGGCGAACAAGCTGGAGCAGCATGTGCAGGAAGGTGGAGACAACTTCTCCGTGGGGGAAAAGCAGCTGTTCTGCATCGCGAGGGCTCTGCTGCGCGACCCTCGTGTCCTCTGCCTGGATGAGGCCACGGCGAGCCTAGATAGCGACACCGACGCCATGCTCCAGGATATGATTCGGCGTCTCTTCCAGCAGAAGACCGTGATTACGATCGCTCACCGCCTGGAGACCATCATGGACAGTGACAGAATCCTTGTGCTGCAAGCCGGTCGCATCGCCGAGGTCGGCTCCCCGCTGATGCTCCTCCAGGCAACAGGCGGAGTCTTCAGTGGTATGGTGCAGGCCGGCAACGCTCAACATCTCCGTGCTATCGCGACCGTCGGCTATTTGAACGCCAACCGCCAAACTTGCCCGCCTCCCGAAGAAGATGCGGCAAGCCTGTGAGATGACGCATGGGTGGAGGGTCAGAAGCAGCTGATTCGTTACCCAGAGTTGGTGGTTGCAGTGCGTGTCCCCACTGCAGGGGAGTGCAAATGTGCACCGTCCACTGCCGACGCCACTCTTAATCATGTTTTGCGCTGTTTCTTCTTTCCGCCAGACCGCCAGGCCCCCTACAGGTGCAAATCGGGCTGAGGGGCTGGCCGCGGACGTTGCCGGCAGGCGCCGCACCAATGAGCTTCCTGCTGCCTGCTGGGTGCGTCAAACGAAAGAGCTGGATCACGCGCCTCCTGAAACCACAACCCGAGCCCAATGTATTTTCTCCCGCGCGCGGACCCTAAAAGTCCCTGGACCTTCCCTGGGACCAGCTTTTCATCAGGAGTCGTCTTTGACGGTCCCCGAGCGCGAGAATTGCCCCCCGAGGCCGACCACAACGAAAGGTGTACGCCCTGTCTCTATTCGAGGCTCTGCTGCGACGAATCCTCACGCCCCTGGAGGAGACTGGCAGAGGGCCGGCGAGGGTGCAACGAGGGCGGCAGTCCCAGGAGCGCTTTGTGTTTGCCTCCGCTTCGCGGGGTGCAAATTAGGCGAAAGCACAGATTCTCTGGCCAGCAGTTGTCCCTCGATCGAGGCGTCGTCGACTCTAGCACGGTGGAGCCCACTCCCATCAGCCGTTGAATGGAGTGGCTATGTTCAAGGGAGGAAAAACCCACCCGGACCGGACAATTGGCGTTTACTGAACGGCCCTGAGCGTTTACTAAACATCCCTGCCATGTTCGATTCCTTCATTGGGCGCGTTTACTAAGAAGGCCTCGCGTGTCGGGGCGGCTATTATCGGAGTGGATTGTCTGCCCTCTATGTGTGACTGACATCTTGCCAGGCCGTGCGACGGATGCTGCTCAGCGGTAGCGCACCCCACGTTGCCGATTCAGGCTCGGCAGCTGACATCGCAGGCGAGGCCAACTCCGAGGCACCTGGCTTCGGCCACACCTGGGCCAGAGCAGACAGGGCCCCTTGGAGTCTCGGCACGAGAGCAGACAGAGGCACCTGGAGTCGGCCCTCCTCCTCCTCCTCCTCCTCCTCCTCCTCCCTCCCCCTCCTCCTCCTCCTCCTCCGCCTCCTCCTCCTCCTCCTCCGCCCCCTCCTCCTCCTCCTCCTCCTCCTCCTCCTCCTCCTCCTCCTCCTCCTCCTCCTCCTCCTCCTCCTATGGGCCACACTGGGCCGGAGCAGACGGGATTCACCTCCACGTGGTCGCCGTCGCCCGGGATCTGCTCGGAGCCCGCGCGAAGCCCTCGTCGCGGTACGAGGGCATGCGCGCGTTCCGTACATCTGCGCCCGGCCGACAAGATGCCCACAGGAGAGAGACATGCCGATGCTGCTGCTGCTCCAAAGCCTTCTGGGGGAACCTCGTCGCCACAGCCGGATTCGCCTCGGGACCCTGGTCAGAGTGCGCCTGGGGAGAGGTCCAGGGAGCACAGGCAGCACAAGCCTAAACTGTCGGAGCTCCGAAAGCTTATGTTTATGCCGTTTTTGTTTTCGAGAAGGTCACTGGATCAGCCACCTGCTGGCCAGAAGGTGTGGAAGGTGGAAAGTCAGGGGGAGCGGTATAGGTCAGCCACGCGCAGAGGGGGGTAAGGGGAAATGTGAAGCACCCCTGCTTCTCAGAAGGCGTGGGCCTTCCTATAAATGTCAAACCGGCACATTTAATGGCAGTTTTCCTCTAAGAAGCCTTCCCCCTCTCCCCCTACCCCCTTTGTGCGTGCCGGGACGGAGATAGTGTTTATCGTTTTCGATCCATTTGCGCGCCGTCAAATTGATGCGTATCCGCTGGTTTCGAAAGTCGGCGGCGAGCGAGAGGGGGGAAGTGAGAAGGGGCGGGCCTTCTCAGAAGGCTCAGAAGTCCCCAGGGCGTATGAGAAGTTTTCTACGCCCCCCCGAAGGCACGGAAAATGTCTCAGAAGGCGCGAGGGCTTCTGAGAAGTGCCGCCGACTTCTGAGAAGGCCTCTTCCTTCTCGCTTCTCCCCCTCGCTCGCCGCCGATCTTCGCGCAGAGGGACAATTATCGGATTGGGAGGATGGGGTCCCAGACATGATCGCGCCGCAAAACTTCAGGACGAAGGTTTTTCGCAGTTTTCGGGCTCAGGAGGCCCTCGCCAGGCCCCTGGACCGTCAAGAAACGATGCAGGATAACTGGTCCAGGGGAGAGGATCGGGACTTCCAGGAACCGCGCATTGAAAAAACAGGACGTCGCATCTCTGGGGTTGGGAGACATGGTCATAACATCCGTGTTGCTGCGTATGCTCCATGTGCTTATTCACGACGTTTCACGTTCACCGCCCGCCCACTCCAGTTCTCGCCGGACGAGGCGAAGACGGCTCCACGACGGCATGAACAGATGCAGAAAATCATACAAGACCCCTCGCAGGTGTGTTTTGCTGTTTTTGTCTGCGCTCCATTGTTGTTCCCAACCCACAGCCTGTGAGGGTCAGGCATACCGCGTGGCTGATCAATCGTAGATTTGCCGTTTGGTCGTCGTCCCGTCATCACTGCCGACGCATCATTGATATGGACGTTGCTTCTCTGGGCCCTTGTTTACTATCCACACCCGGAGGCCAGAAATGTCCCGAGCACTGCCCAAAATCAGCCAAAATTTGCCCGAACGCTGCCTAAAAGGAGCCAAGGAGGGACCCATGCTGCTCAGGCGGGCGTCGAACGGCCGAAGCGACAGCATGTCCGTGTTGGGCCGTAACTCCGTCAGAATGCAATTTAAAATCGGGCTGGTTTGGGGCCGTTTGGGGTTTTGTGTTGGGGCCCACGTGAAGCCCAGGAGGAGGAGGAGGAAGAGGAGGAATAGAAGGAGGAGCAGCAACAGGAGGAGGAGGAGGAAGAGGAGGAGGAGGAGGAAGAGGAGGAAGAGGAGGAAGAGAAGGAGGAGCAGCAACAGGAGCAGGAGCAGGAGGAGGAGGAGGAGCAGGAGGAGCAGCAGGAGCAGCAGGCGCAGCGGGAGCAGGGAGGCGGGAGGCGGGAGGAGGGCCGGCTCCACAGGTATTCTGCCCAGCGGACGTGAAGGAGTGCCCGGACGGCTCGTTCGTGTCGCGCGACTCGGCGAACGGGTGCGAGTTCCCGGCGTGCCCGCCGCAGGCGGCGGGCCCCCCGCCTCTCGCCCGCGCCTTGGGCCAGAGCGTCACGCACACGCCACGTCACAGCCTATGCGCAGCACAGCCAGGACGCTGAAACCCAGAAGGGGGAAAAGTGCTGCTTCCCCCTCCTCCTCCTCCTCCTCCTCCTCCTCCTCTCTCCTCCTTCCTCCTCTCTTCCTCCTCCTCCTCGTCTCCCCCCCTCCTCCTCCCCCTCCTTCTCCTCCTCAACCTCCTCCTCCTCCTCCTTCTCATGCTCCTCCTCATCCTCCCCTCAACCTTCCCCTCAACCTCCTCCTCAACCTCCCTCCTCCTCCTCCTCCTCCTCCTCCTCCTCCTCCTCTTCCTCCTCCTCCTCCTCCCCCTCACCCTCGTCGTCCTCGTCGTCCTCCTCCTCCTCCTCCTCCTCCTCCTCCTCCTCATCATCATCATCATCATCATCATCATCATCATCATCATCCTCATCCATCATCCTCTCCTCATCCTCATCATCCTCATCCTCCCTCCTCCTCCTCTCCTCCTCCTCCTCCTCCTCCTCCTCCCCTCCTTCCCCGCTTCCCCTCCTCCTTCTCCTCCTCCTCCTCCTCCTCCTCCTTCCTCCTTCGGCTCCTCCTCCTCCTCCTCCTCCTCCTCCTCCTCCTCCTCCTCTTCCTCCAGCACGTCCCTCATTTGGGCTGTTTTGGTGGCTCCCAGGAGGCCCTCTCTCCCCCCTTTTCCTCGACGTCCTCCGCCCGTTCTTGTTATCCTGTTTTATCTCATGTTTCCTCCGGAGCGGGGGCCAACGCAGCCGCGAAGAGGGAGTTCCAACGTGCTTCGTGCAACGCCACGTCTGCGCGGCAAGAGCACATCACCCGGGCCCAAAGAATTACCCTGTGACGTACCCAACCCATCTGTATCATGGGAAACGAGGAGTTGGCCGAAGCTTGCACGGACAATCAAATTGCAGGATCCGTTGTTTGATATGTAAGCTACTTGGGACACGCGCCAATGGAATGATGCGCAGGAGGACCATACAAGAACGAGGGGCGACAACTACAGGCTCGAAAGGGACATGGGGAGTCGGGAACGAAGAGCAGGAGAAAGACATGCGGGAAGCCCACTGGGCTGGGCCCCCCAGCAGGCCTCGAAAGTGGCGACAGTTTCACAGATCGCAGCCCCCCAGGGATGGCGAGGCCCCATTTGAATCCGCCGTGGGTACCCACTGCGCTGGGCCCCCCAGCAGGCCTCGAAAGTGGCGACAGTTTCACAGATCGCAGCCCCCCAGGGATGGCGAGGTCCCATTTGAATCCGCCGTGGGTACCCACTGTGCTGGGCCCCCCAGCAGGCTTCGAGAGGGGCGACAGTTTCACAGATCGCAGCCCCCCAGGGATGGCGAGGTCACATTCGAATCCGCCGTGGGTACCCACCGTGCTGGGCCCCCCAGCAGGCCTCGAAAGTGGCGACAGTTTCACAGGTCGCAGCCCCCCAGGGATGGCGAGGTCCCATTTGAATCCGCCGTGGGTACCCACTGTGCTGGGCCCCCCAGCAGGCCTCGAAAGTGGCGACAGTTTCACATATCGCAGCACCCCAGGGATGGCGAGGACCCATTTGAATCCGCCGCGGGTGCACACCGTGCTGGGCCCCCCAGCAGCCCTCGAAAGTGGCGACGGCTTCACAGATCGCAGCCCCCCAGGGGTGGCGAGGTCACATTTGAATCCGCCGTGGGTGCACACTGCGCTGGGCCCCCCAGCAGCCCTCGAAAGTGGCGACAGTTTCACAGATCGCAGCCCCCCAGGGATGGCGAGGTCCCATTTGAATCCGCCGCGGGTGCCCACTGTGCTGGGCCCCCAAGCAGCCCTCGAAAGTGGCGACAGTTTCACAGATCGCAGCCCCCAGCAGCCCTCGAAACGCAGCGACGAGCCAGGTAAAAGGCAGGGGGAAGAAAGGGACGGGAGGGGGTGGGAAGGCGCGAGCAGTGCTCTATGCAAAACGAGAACGCAACGCAGGAGGGTTGGGAAAAGAGCACATCACCCGGACCCAAAGAAAAAAAAATACCCTGTGACGTACCCAACCCATTTGTACCATGGGAAACGAGGAGTTGGCCGAAACTTGCACAGACAATCAAATTGCAGGATCCGTTGTTTGATATGTAAGCTACTTGGGACAAGCTCAGCA